ATGTATGTATGTATGTATGTATGTTTATCCAGGATGGGAGAAAGAACCCTTGTCTGTTGAAGGCATGCGAATATTGGCAGTGGCCAGCTTGATTAGCATTGAATAGCTTTGCAGCTTCAAAGTCTGGCTGCTTCCTGCCTGGGGGAATCCTTTGTTGGGAGTTGTTAGCTGGCCCTGGAACAAGGAAGGCACTGCAGACTAACTCAGCTCGAGAAGTCAGCCGTAGCATAGCTCTTGATGTGCCACCCAGGGCACAGAATAGTATTTGAGAACACAGACTCTCACAACCACCATGTCAGGCCAGCTTAATAAAGCTTGGTTGCTTCCTGCCTGGGGGAATCCTTTGTTGGGAGGTGTTAGCTGGCCCTGATTATTTGTTGTCTAGATTAACCCTTTTTTTTTTTTAGTGTTGCTCTTTATTTATTTCATGGTTTCCTCCTTTCCGTTGAAATTGTCTACACGCTTGTGGATTTCAGTGGCTTCCCTGTGTCGTCTGACGTGGTAGTTGTTACAGTGGTCCAGCATTTCTGTGCTGAAAGGAGGAAATCATGAAAATGAACACAATCTGTCCCCCAGTATTAAAACCTCTAACTTCAGGGCAGTAAACAAAGAGAAATGCTAAAAAAACTGGGGAATTCCAGGCAGGAAAACATCAGGGCCAGCTAATGCCTCCCAACAAAGGATTCCCCCAGGTGGGAAGCAGCCAGGCTTTGAAGCTGCAAGGTTATTCAGTGCTAATCAAGGTGATCAATAGCAGCATTGACACTTGCCTCAAGCAGACAAGAGTTCTTTCTCCCACACTGGACATTATTCCACAGATATATAAACCCCACTTGTTTAGTTTCCAACAGACCTTACAACCTCTGAAGATGCCTGCTATAGATGTGGGCAAAATGTCAGGAGAGAATGCTTCTGGAACATGGCCAGGCAGCCCAGAAAACAATTCACAGCAACTCAGTGCTTCCGGACATGAAAGCTTTTGACAAATGACTTAGAAGGGTTCAAAAGAGGTGCAGAGATTGCAAATTTGCATTGCACAAAAATAAATATATATGTATATTCAAAAATTAGGAATATAGCAACACAACAAAGGCAGTTAGAAATGTTCAAAGGGGTGCGCTGATTGCAAATTTGCATTGCACAATATGTATATGTATATATATATGTATGTATATATATATATATATATATATATATATATATATATATATATATGTGGAAAAATTAGGAATATAGCAACGCAACAAAGCCACTTAGAAAGATGTAAAGGGAGGCACAGATTGCAAATTAGTACCACGCACAAATATATAATAATTTAAAAAATAGAGTTTCTCAACAATAGAGTTCCCAGCCAAGCCGTTCGAAAGGCCGGGCTGCAACTCCCGCACGCACCGTTTAATAATAATGCAATTCCCAACCAGTTCCCAGACAGAGGCCCAGCTAAGCTTTTGTGAGCAGGACTTGAACTGGGCCGCTCTCCTCCTTTTGGGGCGGCTTGTTTCCTGCGGATTTCCCAAAGCGCTTGGCGTCTCCCCCGCTGGGCCTGAGCTTAGCGGTCAAGACAGGTTTGTCTCAAACGGTCTGGAAGTTGAAGGAGGCGGGGGGGCATCATAAAAAGCATTGTGGCCAATGATTATCCCCTGGGCAGCAAGCAGGACTTGGAAAGGTCACTCTGCGTTTCTGTCCTTGGTGTAAACCAGTTTGTCCTGTTGCCTAGACTTTTTATTTTTTTCTTTTACTAATTACGATTTTAATCTCAGTTGTTTGTCCCGAGTAGGACGTTTTTTCCTGTGGGATCTAATTGGAGACTCGGCCTCGCCGTGTGTGCCAAGGCCGTGGATATGCAGACGTCCACTTAATTCTCATAGAACAGAGCTAGTGGCTTTGGTATCAAAACTGGTCTGTTTCCCAGCCATGCCCTTCTCCTTTCTGTGTCCAGTTCCAAGAGGACAAAGGCATGGGCCAACTTGAGCCCTCCCTCCAGGTGTTGGAGTCCAAAACACTCTCGCTTGCTGGGGTGTTCCAGCGAGTGTCTCTGTAGATCTTAGAAAACTATTTCTTGATTTAACTCCCACACTGTGGGTATGCAGATGATCCCCTGATTGACTATTTATTTATCGTGTCATCAGCAACCATACCATTGTATTACAATTCTAACAGAGCAAAACAAACACACAGAAATCTGGTAGTTGGTTAAATGTCCTTTGACCAGTATCTGTCCCCTTGGAGTGCCTCTGGTGTTGCCGCAAGGAGGTCCTCCCTTGTGCATCATGTGGCAGGGCTCAGGGTGCATTGCAGCAGGTGGTCAGTGGTTTGCTCTTCTCCACACTCGCATGTCGTGGATTCCACTTTGTGGCCCCATTTCTGAGGTTGGCTCTGCATCTCGTGGTGCCAGAGCGCAGTCTGTTCAGCGCCTTCCAAGTCGCCCAGTCTACTGAGTGCCCAGGGGGGAGTCTCTCATTTGGTATCACCCAGGATTGAGGTGCTGGGTTTGGGCCTGCCACTTTTGGACTCTCGCTTGCTGGGGTGTTCCAGCGAGTGTCTCTGTAGATCTAAGAAAACTATTTCTTGATTTAAGTCGTTGACGTGCTGGCTGATACCCAAACAGGGGATGAGCTGGAGATGTCTCTGCCTTGGTCCTTTCACTATTGGCTGCTACTTCCCGGCGGATGTCAGGTGGTGCAATACCGGCTAAGCAGTGTAATTTCTCCAGTGGTGTGGGGCGCAGACACCCTGTGATAATGCGGCATGTCTCATTAAGAGCCACATCTACTGTTTTAGTGTGATTGACTGAAGGGTCCCATTCCAAGAGGACAAAGGTATGGACCAACTTGGGCCCTCCCTCCGGGTGTTTTGGACTCCAGCTTCCACACTGTGTGTATGCAGGTGATCCCTTGATTGACTGAAGGGTCCAGTTCCAAGAGGACCAAGGCATGGGCCAACTTGGGCCCTCCCTTCAAGTGTTTTGGACTCCAGCTCCCACAACGTGGGTATGCAGATGACCCCTAGATTGACTGAAGTGCCCAGTTCCAAAGGCATGGGCAGAATATAAATAAAGTATATTATTTTACTGACACAAAAACACAGTATGTCACAGCAAACAAGATCGCCATGCTGGATTTTGTATCACAAAATCACAAGTCGAACACTTCCCAAGCGTCTAGGACTGTGTTATGGATCTGCGTGCACCATTCAAAAGTATATTATTATTATTATTATTATTATGCCAAACAGCTCCGAATATCAGGAGGTTCTTCCTAATGTTGAAGTGAAATCCCCTTTCCTGCAATGGAAGGATTCTATCTATCATATGCATATCTCTAACACAATCATATCTATCCTATGGCTCGCTGGCCATCTGTTGAGAGGGCTTCGGTGATGCCTTCCTGCCTGGCAGAAGGGGGCTAGATTGGATGGCCCTTGGGGGTCCCTTCCGACTTAATCTTCCGGCTGGATTAGCCCCCTCCCTTCACCTCCAAAGGACCTCTTTCCCTTCCTGTTTTCATCACCTTGAGTGCCGGTTTAAAGGATCCTTAAGTGACTGATCCTTTAAGTCCCTTGAGAGGAGGTTTCAAATAGACCCTTTAGGGCCACGTTTCATTGTTTGTGTGCCTTCAAATCACTCCTGACAGAGGCTTTTCAAATCTCGTCTTCCTCTTGAGGCTGAGAGAATGTCACCCAGAGCAAGGGTGCAAACTCTTGGAATTATGGTCCAGGACTCCAGGCTGCATCCCTATGGTGACCCTCTCCTGTTTGTTTATTTTTGTTTATTATTTACTCTTATTTCTCCTGATTCTGGGGATTCAAGGAGGCCAACACCAAGGAGGACACCACATAATTGCAACATAGCAAGTGCATTACAATAGGAATATAAACATTTTTTAAAAATCACATCTTTCCTTCTTTCTCTTATTTCCGCCCATACCCTTTCCTTCTTTGTCTTCCTTGCCTCCTTTTTCTTTCCTTCATCCCCTCTCTTCTCCTTTCATTATTTTCCTTTCCTCCTTCCTTTCTCTTTCCCTCTTTCCCTTTCTTTCCTCCCCTCATACCTTTTCCCACTTTCCTTTTTCTTCCTTCTTTCACTCCTTTTTCTTTTTTCCTCTTGTCATCCCTTCCTTCCTTCTCCTTTTTCTCTTCCTCCCTTCATCTCTTATTTTTCCCAAGGGCACGGCGCTCTGTCCCGTCCCCTGGCCGGCGTGCGCTTTGGCCCTGGGGACGTTTGCTGGGGGCGCCCTCCTCCACTCCTGTGTCGTTGTATGGCATGAGTGCCCGGCCGAAGGGCAGGGTGTCCTTCCTTGGTCCCTATAGACATTTATGGCAAGTGACCTCATACCTTTTCCCCCTTTCCTTTGTCTTTCTTCCTTTCTTCCCTCCCCCCCTCCTTTTACTCCCCCCCCCCCCCCCATCTTCCCTTCCTTCTCCTTTTCTCTTCCTCCCTTCATCTTTTCTTTTTTCTGTTCCCTTCCCTTCTTAAAATTACAACAGCAAAACAACAAAGGGGAAACAATCAGGGACATCTAATCAACTCTCAACAAAAGATTGCCCCAGGCACTGCCAGGCCATCAAATGCTAATCAAGGTGGTCAGTTGAAACATTCACACCTAGCTCCAGCAGACAAGAGTCTTTGTCCCACCCTGGTCATTCCACAGATATATAAACCCTTTTTCCTAGTTCCAACAGACCTCAAAACCTCTGAGGATGCTTGCCATAGATGCAGGCGAAACGTCAGGAGAGAATGCTTCTAGAAAATGGCCATATAGCCCGAAAAACCTACAACAACCCAATGAGAAAAATTCATTGGATTTAAATATTAACACTGAAAATCAAAAAGTTGAAGGCACTGATTTGCCAATTACTTCTATGACATCTGATATTCTTCAGCATGATATGCAAAAACATTTAAACACTAGCTCATGCATG